TTTGCCCTAGAGGACATACAAATGACCGACAAATATATTATGAAAAGATGCTCATCATTGCTAGCTATTAGGGAAATGCATATCAAAACCACAATAAGATACCATCTCACATCTGTTAGAATAGCTATAATCAACGGACAAGCAATAACAAATGTTGGAGAGGATGTGGAGAAATAGGAACCCTCATATACTGTGGTGTGACTGCAAATTGGTACAGCCACTATGGAAAATAGTATGGAGGTTCTTCAAAAAACTAAGAATTGATCTACCATATGATCCAGCAATCCCTCTACTGGATATTTACCCCAAAGACTTGAAAACCCATATCTGAAAAGATATTTGTCCACCGATGTTCATAGCAGCATTATTCACAGTGGCCAGGACATGGAAGCAACTGAAGTGTTTTACAATAGTTGATTGGTTAAAGAAGCTGTGGCTTCTTTAACCAATCAACAATGGAATATTACTCAGCCATAAGAAGAGATGAAATACTGCCATTTGCGACAATTTAGATGAACCTCGAGATAATCATGCTAAGTTAAATAAGCCAGACTGAAAAAGTTGAAAATCACATGATATCACTTATATGTGGGATATAACACTAAAAGCAACAAATGAACAGAACAAACAGAGACTCGTGGACATGTAGTATAGATTAATGGTTACCAGAGGGTAGGGAGCGGGGGAAGTGGAGGTAGCTAGACAGTTAAAGGGGGTCAAATATAGGGAGGTGGGGGGAGGGTGAAGTGGGTAAAGCAGATCAAATATATGGTAGCTGAAGGAAACTGGAGTTTGGGTGGTAAACACAAAATAGAATATACAGATGTCAAATTATAATGTGCACCTGAAAATTATATAACTGTATTAACCAATGTTACCCCAATAAACTTAATAAAAAAATGTAAAATAATAATAATAAAAATAAATAAATAAATTCAGAGCCAAGCGAGTTCACCGAAAAGATAACACTGAAAAGTTCAATTATTAATGTTTACCAGAGGGTAGGGAGCGGGGGAAGTGGAGGTAGCTAGACAGTTAAAGGGGGTCAAATATAGGGAGGTGGGGGGAGGGTGAAGTGGGTAAAGCAGATCAAATATATGGTAGCTGAAGGAAACTGGAGTTTGGGTGGTAAACACAAAATAGAATATACAGATGTCAAATTATAATGTGCACCTGAAAATTATATAACTGTATTAACCAATGTTACCCCAATAAACTTAATAAAAAAATGTAAAATAATAATAATAAAAATAAATAAATAAATTCAGAGCCAAGCGAGTTCACCGTAAAGATAACACTGGAAAGTTCAATTATGTTGTGCTTGAAAAATTAAGGATGAAATTAGGTAATTTAATAAAAATTAGGTAAATCAACAAATGTCTTATTTCAAGGGGGAGAAAAAACAGCTAGGCTAGACTAGAGTTAAAATATATAAAAACACACAAAGTGAAAACAACTCAGCCTATTTAGGAAAAGGAAATTTATGGTCAAATTGGTAAGATGAAAAAAAATTTTACAAAGTAATCTGAAGAGTTCTCTCTCTCCTATCTCACTTCCCAACACATTTAAAAAAGTAGTATTATAACAATTATTAGACTCTAAGAATTTCGTTTCATTTGCTGCAACTTAAAACCAAGGGGGAAAAATTTAAGAGAAATAAAGTCTAATAATTCCCATATCAACTTGAGGGCACATATACTTCTACTTTAATGAAATATGATCTCTCTAGTTAATAAGGAATGCCACAAATAGAGAAAGGAGGAACTCGCAGAAATGGGATCAATGCTGGCACAAACCTCAATTCTCATTACATGTTTATAAAATCCTCATCCTCAAAGAAAAAAGAAAAACCTAAGTCCATATAAATAGTCTCTTTCAATTTAATTTTATTATAAAAACAACAGGAAATGGCAGCAGGGTATTTGATAAGCTCAATTAGCAGGAGGATCTAATAAAGTGATGACATGCCATTATGACCTCAGGGGTTAAAGATGTAATTTTCCATCTGGCAAAATCTAGATTTCCAACTCAAATGCTAACACCACCTGCTGTATATTATTAGGCGCTATCTAAACAGTCCCTAAGCATTTTCCTTACAACAGGTATAGCTTCAAGAATTTTTTTATTTCAGTCTGCAACATAATTGCTTCCCATGAACAGAAATTGAAAATAAATTCTACATAATGGCTCACTGAAACAGGCATTAAAGCCATACAAAAGCATTAATTTACCAATCATGGTAATACTAAAAATATCATGATCATTTTTCTTTTACGTCACGAATGATATTGTGCCATCATTATCTACAGCACCTAAGAATCATTCCAGTCACGAGCTCTCTCTGCATATTCTCAATTAATAGTCTCTTGATACTGAAATGAATACTTTGGGCATGTCTGATATGAATTAGGTCTATATAATCCCTTCACAGAATGAAAATTCACTGCATTTTAAAACCTAATGTAGTTCCTTGAGTGAGGAAACGGCAATGGCAAAGCCTTTTAAATTTTTCCATACCAAGTGCAAGGAGTCCATTTGTGAGTGTTCACACCCTTAGATACATGTGTTACCAAGAATCATGTTACTAGGCTCCAAAGGCTGTATTTTGTATACTCTGAATTATGGACTCTGTGAGCCAGTGGCTAGCCAATGAATGCACAGCTCTCGCTGTGATTAGAACTGATAAGGGTTGTGTCCTGAGATGTTTATACAGGTGCTGTATACACACAAACACACCCCACACTTAAGTAAACTATAAACATAGGTTCAGATACCTAGTCTTGAGATTTCATATTGGACAATCAATAGTATAGCACTGAATACTCATAACTCCTTGTTTTAACATCTATTTTCTAGGGCTGTACCAATTTTTTTCTAGTAAAATTATTTTTCACCATGTGTACCTCCTCCATAAGGAAATTCACCAAGGTCCCCATGCTGATTCAGTGACTTCTCAAAGTGTTTAGTAGCTATTTGGAGTTTCTCTTTCATTAAAATTTATATCCCAGTTTAATTTCATTTTCTTCCTTCTGGGTAAGTAGGTATTCCAGAAATGGGAACATGTAAAATTCGTAAGTAACTCAAAACTTACTTGGCTTTCTGAATCCACACACAGTAGTCTGAGATGTAGAGATCGTTTAGGATGTAAGCTGGGTCACTTTCCTGAAAAATTTTGTGAATATCCAGTAGACACTTTAAAACTGCACTTTTACCTGAAGGAAATTTTAAAAAATAAAATCATCTTTAAGAAAAAAAATCTGATTTTTTTTTAACTGAGAAATCCAGACACTGAGAAGTAATAAATTTATAGCAGCTCAGAGTTTTAATCGTTTTTTAGAATATTTTAAATTTTCATTTATTGCATGAAATTATATCAGTATTATTATGTCCAAAGCTCATTATTTCTTTCCTTGAGAATTATAAATAATCCTTATACACTATTGTTATAGCTAATTAATTGTAGTCATCATAAAAACACTGAAACATAACTAGGTACATTGAACAAAAGGAAATAATCCTAACTAAATGAATATTTACATGCATCATAACTTTAATTAGATAATGTTATAATTCAAGCTTTTAAAATACCATGGGAAATTAGTTTTCGAACTTTTTTATTTCTTATGTTAACATTTTTTCGGTCAAGGAATTATCTAGTACTACCTTAAATTTTTTCATCTTAAAGAATTAAAGAACGCTCAGACTGAAAACTAAAATATCATAGCACTACTTCAAAAATAAGCAGACAAAATCACTTGGAAAAAAGCTATCAAGTACTATGGTCTTGTTCAACCTAATTACTTCCTCCTGGTTATTAAATGAACCTAATTTTAATCTCAATCAAAACCTACAAAAAAAATTTATACAACTCAACAATTTTCTAGGTGTTCCAAACTTCATGACAGTCCCTGAAATTTATTAACTAGAAGGCAAATTAATAAATCTATAGTACTTCTTCTTTTAATCTGTAAAACACAGCTTTTTCTATTTTGTTCATTCTTTATAGTCCTAAAACATAAAAATACTATATACTGATTTCATGAAGATATTAGACGTGCTTTCATCATTTCCCACTTAACTTTTAGACATGATAAAAGAACGAACTAGATAATGACATCTCAAGATACCAAAATTGCTCCCACTAAATTTGTAACACAACTAACATTAGAAAGTAAACTGCAAAAGAGCAGGGACTTCTGTTTTATTTAGTAGTTAATTCCCAATGCCTAGAACAGAATCTTGCAGCAGCAGATTTTTGATTTCAATATTTTAAGAATGAATGAATGAATGAATGAATGAATGACACAGTAATCGCCTACTTAAATCCTTCCAATTTCTTTAATTGCACACCAATTCCTGATTTTTCTCTTGAAAATGACCTTTGTAACTGCCCTTCCTCCACTACCCCCTGATCACTTATTCTCACTCATACTCTTATCATCCCAAGCCTAGATTACCAAAATCCTCTTCCTCATCTCTCATATTTCTGACTTTTTCCCTTTTAGTCCTCTGACAGACATATTTTTTTTAATGAATTGTTTTCATCAAGTCCCCTCCCTGCATATGCTTTCAAGGCTCTATGGACTTGTCTAGAGTCTTTTTCTCAACTGCTTCCCCATACCTAGAATGCTTTTTCTTGATCTAATGGAATTTTATTCTGCCTATAAGGTCTAGCTAAAGTCTTCATCCTTCAGGAAGCCTGGACTGACTTTTCTAGTTGTCAGAGCTCTTTAATAACTCCTGCAAGGGAAAGAAGTGGAAAGGAAACTCGGTTGATCCTCCCCATAACCTCACCTGCTCACTTCACAGAAACAGAACCTGAGGCTCAAGGACAGTAAGATACTCACAGTGTCACTGAGTTGAGGAGCCAGGATCCAAATTCTGATCTTACCAGCTCTACAGGCTAGCCACTGTGCTACGCTATCCATATGTTCTTTGCCCAGTCAGTCTATATCAAAACATTTTTATTATTCAAGAGTTAAGTAGGTGGCAAGTTCAAAGCAGAACCTTTCCTTTAAAAAATTGTTAAACCATTTATGTGGCTTCCTTATATGGAGCTGAGAAAAATGCCAATAAAAACTTCATTGCTCAATTGGTTAAGAGAAATAAATTGTCATGCACTGCTTAACAAGGAAATGTTCTGAGAAATGCACCATTAGGTGATTTCTTCATTGTACGAACATCACAGAGTACACTTACACAAACCTAGATAGTATAGCCTACTACACACCTAGGCTCTATGGTATAGCCTATTGCTCCTGGGCTACAAGTCTGGACAGCATGTTCTTGTATAAAACATGAGATTAAATCAAGCACAGAGAAAATGATGCAATCAAGAGACGTGGTAAGCATGAGATGTACAAAGCTGCTGCTGGTGTAACATGCCTTACTGTTTTATGCGAACTTCTTTTTATGAGTAGAAAGAATACACTTTAAATTGATGATAAAAAGAATAAGTAATATAGAAACCAGTAAGTCATTTATCATCATTATCAAGTAGTATGTACTGTACATAATTGTATGTGCTATACTTTTATACAACTGGCAGTGAAGTAGGTTTGTTTACATCAGCATCAGCCCAAATACATCAGTAATGTGTTGCACAATGATGTTATCATAGCTACATAACTAGGTGATAGAAATTTTTCAGCTCCATTATCATCTTATGGGACCACAGTCCATCCTTGAAACATCATTATTTGGGACATGACTGTACTTAGAAAGCCTAAAACTACATTTAGTTAAGTCAAGGTCAGAGCTCAGACTTATCAAAGTGGCCCGGGTTAACTATATCAAATTATTAGTGTGAATTCCCCAAGTCACTGAAGGCCAATTTTAGTTACAAGGTAGGTAATGTTGAAGGCAGTTTAATGACAAGAAGAGGAAATACAGCAGGTCCTCAAATAACTTCATTTGTTCAACTTTGTTTTATTGTTTCATTATAACATTGTAGGAATTTAACTCGTTTATATCAATTAGCCTGTGGTAAAATTTGCTTTGTTAAACCTCTTTCACTTAAAGTCACATAAAGTCACAAACATATTGATAATGTTAAGTGTGGACTTAACTCCACAATCAACGCTCACAGAAGTGATGAAACCAAATTAGCTACATTACCCAAATAGCAAAAAATTAAGGGAGAACTGTAAGAATTTTTTGAACAGTTGTATTTGCCACAGAGAAGAAAATATGAGGGGGCAAGCATATGCCAATTTCTTTCTCCCTCTCTCTCACCCATTCCCTCTCACCCATTCCCTCTCCCTCTGGGGTGGAGGGGGTGAGGTACAGGAGGAAGGAGTTTATTTTTATAACTACCAACTTAAAGTTTTAAAAGTCAACAATAGATCTTTACCAAAAAACAAAAACAAAAACTATTCACTTGAAACTTGTATAAGCTCCGCTATAGTATAACACCCCAGAATACTGCCTCTCACTATCCCATTATTAGCTTACTAATAATGGCAGGTTAACAAAAAATGCAAGATTTGGAGCTGTGCTTCACAGCAAATAATTCATTGAGTGAAGAAAAGGGGCTGGGCGTGCCAGTCAGCTTGATGACAATGTGAAAAGAAGTAGACATAGGACTTAAAATGGGGTGGATTCAGGAAATAATAGAAAAAAACCATTCGGCTGGAGCAGATGGTTCAGGCATAGAAATAAGGGGAGTAAATAGGTGAGTTTGGTAGAATTCAGACTGTGACAGGAGGAGGAGACAAATACAATTAGATAGAACTGAGGTGAGAAAGCTTAAACGCAAGCATAGGGAGTAAGGATAAAAGACCCTACTCTAGATTTTCATGAAGAAAGGTATGGAATTAAGGTTTGAATTAAAAGAAAGGTATGGATTTACATATTTAATGAGAATCTATAGCAACCATTACTTAATGAAATTAATATAGCTTCATTTAGCAGACATGCCTAAAGGGAGGTTGTCCCCTTGCTAAGGACCACAGGTAAATTCAGATCTTCTACTTATCACAAAAGAATTAAAAAAGTCAAAAATATATTTTTTTATTTAAAGAGAAATTATATTGTATTTGCATGTTTTGATCCATATTTTCTTAAAAAAAGACAAATATACATAGAGAAAAACCATTAAATATATATATATTTATGTGTTTATATATATATAAATATATATATATATATATCCAAATGATATTAACAGTATTTCTCTCTATACTCATTGAACAAATCGTGAGTGCCTGATATATGCCAGACATTGTTTTACATATGGGGTTACAGTCGTTTACACTTTCTCCTATTTTCAAAATTCTTTGCACTTTCTCCTATTTTCAAAATTCTCCACAATAAATATTTATTTGTTTAACAAAGTTAGGCATGCTTGATTATATAACTAATCCCTTAAATACTGACAAAGAATGCTAAAAAATTTAATTCATACTTACAATTTCTTAAAATTATTTTTGAACAACTAAGAAGCAGTATTTAGATCAGGTAGTTTTTAGAAAATTACAAAATAACATGGAAGGCAATTTTGAAAGGGACAGTTAGGCATTCTTCAAAAGCTGTGTTTTTATTGTAGGTCTTATTCAAACTACTTTTACAGTATGCTAATTGAAAAACAAGGTAAAAGATATCAAGGCTACTGGCAGTTGAGAATCTAGAACAAAAAAATACATTAAAGCCATCCTCCCCGCAACAATATGTATGTTACCCGGAGGTCATATTTGATCTCTTTTGTTCTCACTGAATCACCAGAGATCATTATAGCATCATAGCCAAGAGACTCATGAAACATGTAGCTTTTTAAAGTCTCTTTTGTACTGACTGCTCTCTCGCTCAGGTTGTCAACCAGTTACCTAACAGCTATCAGCAAAGGAAAAAACTGGTCGTCCTGTAGGCTGTCGCACGGCCAGTAGCCAAAAGCCTTTGGGGACCCAAAGTATCTGGCTCCTGAGCTCATCACATATCATATGGGCATAAAAACTGCTCAGACCTAAATCCTATAGAATTATTTCTGCTCAAAGACACTGAAGGAAAGTGATCATTTGTAGCCAGTTTACTGCCTGGTCCAAAGCAGGAAAAATGTATCTTGCACAGTAACCACAGTAACTATTTTCATTGCAGTAATGAAGTGGCCTCCAGGATGTTCAATCTCCAAAAAGTTAGGGATTCTCTATCATCGACTTGTTCCTCACTTAAGCCAAACCTATCCACGAAAGAAAGGCTTCTGGTATCAAGATCTCTT